GATTATTGTTATGGAGAGTAGAGAATTTATTAAAGTTAATTAAATTACAAATAAAACAATTTTAAATTTACCCCCATAAAGCGTCATGTTTAATTTTGTTAACTAATATATACTAACACTCATTGACAGCAATAATCCGTGTATTTCTGACAATTTATTTTTCAGATTTAAATTACTATCAATTTTTATATTGAAATCAAATCTAAAAATAAAAATATAATTTTATAATAATATATAATAAGTATTATTGTATTAATAATAACATACACTCCGTCTCTGATATCGTCGGAATTAAAACCAAATATTTTCGCTCCAATGAGTGCCAGACTATAGACATCTATTAAGTGGTTATAATCGGTGCCAAACTGTGCTTCGGGTGCCATATATAGAGTCACATCTGCGGTGTGTTTATCACTACTTTGATTGTATGCATCACTCAATGCTTTTACTTCTTTAGACAAACCGAAGTCACATAACTTTATAAATCGGTGTCTATTCCAGAGAGTATTGTTTGCAATCAACACGTTATCGGGTTTGAGGTCTCTGTGAATGATATTATTTTTATGCAAATACTCCACACTTTCCACCAATTGTTTGAATATTTTATATGATATATAATATTCAAATTCAGTCATTGTTTTCCCAAATAATTGTCTCTTAGATTTTTAAAAGTTATTTAAATTTCCGGCCAAACAATCCATTTGAATGTATAAACAGTTGCTTTCAAACCACGAATAGTGGTATTGAATGACATATTCTGAGCGCAGTTTTGTCAAGTTATCCGTTTCTATCAAAACATTTTGTTTTGTTTCTTCATTTAAACCTTAAAATAAATTAAATATTAATGAAATAAAAATAATATTTAAATAATTACTTTAAAAATATTACATTTTAATTGGCATTTTTTAATCGCATATTTGCTTCGATTGTATTTATCCCTCACTTTAAACACATCGCCGAAAGAACCGGAACCTAAACCTATCAACTGCTCAAACATTTCCCTGTAATTCGGCCTCCGATTGATTTCTAATAGATTTACATTAAGAATAATAAATAATTAATTATATATTTAATTTAGAATATATTTGTTACCATATTTAGATGCTTGACAACAATTATCATGTTTGGTGATAGAAATTGTTTTAAAAGTTATTTCACGTTCGCTATACGCGTATTCATTAAATGATGTATATTTAGTCTCATTGAATGTTTCGGAATAATTATTATATTCGTATACTTTGCCATCACTTATACCGAGAATAATTGGCAATGACGAGGGAACATGGTGATCTCGGAACAGAATACAATCATCAAACAATAAATTGCTTACCATGATCATATTATTATTTTGATTTTCTAAATCATATTTGTAAACGTGTTTATCATGTGATGGCATAACTATGATTGTGCTTATAAAATAGATCTTGCATATAATTATCGTATTATTAACATGTGGTAATAGTTGTGGTATATTTGGTGTTTGATTGCCAACTATTATGCCCCACATAAACACCCGTCCATTGGATGTAATGCCAAATGAATGCCCAAAAAAGCACATAATGTCCACAATTTTGTATTCAACGGGAAATTGTATTTCAATTGGTTTTTGTGTTTCCATTGATCGGTATTTAAATTGAAATACCCGTCCATTGGATGTCAGAGCCATAACTTGTCTTAAATCACATGATATTTTTTCAATACGTATATCATGTGAATTATCACTTGAATTACATAATAATATTTCGTGTGGTTTTGTATAAGTTTCTACATTTTCTTCATTCAAACCCCAGCCAAACATTTGTTGATCGCTATTCAAAACCAATACAAAATCCAATCCAATAATAAACTGTTGAATATTATTATAACTTAAGTGTTTTACTTCTTCGGGCGTATGTATGGGTCGGTTGTGTCCCAAACCCAACACTCCCTCACTATTACTGCCCAACCCATAGACCCGATCATCAGTTAAGACGTTTTTTCGAAAGACATTTTTTCGAAACCAATTTTTCGAAAGACATTTTTTCGAAAAAATTAATTTAAATTAAAGAATTAACAAGTTTAACCTAACCTAACTTACCCTAAACTAACCTAACCTAACTTACCCTAAACTAACCTAACCTAACTTATAATAACTTAACTAATGATATTATTAACAATTTAACTTAATCTAATGAGTTTAAAGTAAATTTTAATTAATTTTTTCGAAAAAGTGTCTTTCGAAAAAATGTCTTTCGAAAATATGATTTCGAAAAAATGTCTTTCGAAAAAATGTCTTTCGAAAAAGTGTCTACATACCATATAAATACAGTATATAAAGTAATATGAAAGCATTATTCTTTTCCACTTATTAATTACTACTAAACTTGCAAACGTATAATCTTTTATCTAGATAACATAAAAGTACATTTTAAAATTAATCTAGTTGATCATCATCAACATAGTTGGAAACTAGTTTATCGAATTGTTTGTCACAAATTTTTTTTAGATTTAATGCATGAAGGTTTCAGTCCTTTGGTTATCAGGTTTTGTTCTTTTATTATTTCTTTGAAATAATTATAAATGCATTTATAATCCATTGATTTTGCGTTAAATATAGGGATTCGCCACAGAATTGCACTTTTCATCCGTGAGATTATATTAGCGTTTATTTCGATTGGATTCTCACCAAAAATATCATTGAATTCATTCATTATATCCTTTATATCTGTTTTATGTAAATTCGAGGCTTTATTCAGTTTAGTAGTAAATCCATGGATTTGATCGACATTTACATCAAAAGTATCCAAAATATATGACTTGTAATCAATGTCTTTATAGCCATTCCTAAAAAGAGTTAATTAAATTACTATATATTCTTATTATTAAAATATGTGAAATATTCATACTTAATATGCGTTAATTGTGAGTCAAACAAACTCTTGAAAATTTGTCCGATTTTATAAATAAAAAGGGGTTTAAGAGTTGTTGAATTGTTATATAGATTTCGATAGTCATCTAAATATAGTTTCATATAATTTTCACAACTTGTAAAATCATTTGTAATGAATATATGTTTTGCATCAAGTGATATATTGGCCATATTTATATTTAAATCAATCAATGCTTGAATACAATGTAATAATTGTCTCAACAATTGCTGTGAAATATGGAAATCAATTGAAATGATTGCTAACGAGTGATGGGTTTGTGTCCCAAATATCACGTGTTTTGCATTTATGACATCCCATAGAGTTTGCGAACAAAACTCTGATTGAATGTAAATCTCTTTATTTTCAATCCAAGAGTTGTATATTTGTAGCAAATATTGAGGTTTTAATGTGAATACTTCCCGAATATTGACCACAAGCTTCTTTAGCGGTGTATTATCTATAATATAAATTTAAATTGTATATTGAACAATTAAATATAGCTCGTACATTGCATGTTCATGATTTATTACAATATTTAATAATTGTAGCTAAAAATAATATACAGCACTTACCGTATTGATAAGATTTGCTAATGTAATAGAGTTTATTGTTTTGAATATTCTTTACTTTAATAAATCTGCTAAAATAGTACATGTTGTTCAATTCATCAAGCTTATTTTCAAATAATGTAAATGCTTGATTGATAACTAAAATAATAATAGAATTTTGTTAAATATTACATAAAATGTTTATTTGTTATAAATATCTATTTAATAAACTATTCTAGATTTTAATATTATTTAATACTAAATTGGTGAGTCATAATAGTTATCAAGTGGATTATCAATAGAATCGCAATCCTTAATGATTTCTATATAAGTAAAACATTAATTTCTAATTATTTAAGTAAGTGAATAAACATTGAAATAAAATTGGTTTACCATTATTTTCATCACATGTTTGGCAAATAATACACTTTTTATAACAAAGAATAAAATACTCAAAAAATAGTCTAAATTTCTTTTCAATTATATTATTAAACATTAAATCATTGCTTTCGACAATCGGTTCAATCAATAAATCCTGTAATTTGTGCAAAATTACTCCACATTCAGGCCTTTGTTTCCATATATCCTTAATCTCTTCACAATTCTCTGTATATTAGTCCCCAAAAGAAGTCATGACGTATTAATAGGTCTATTTTAAAATGTAATATTTTTAAAGTAATTATTTAAATATTATTTTTATTTCATAATATTTAATTTATTTTAAGGTTTAAATGAAGAAACAAAACAAAATGTTTTGATAGAAACGGA